AGAATAGAATAGAATAGAATAGAATAGAATAGAATAGAATAGAATAGTTGGAAGGGACGTTTGGGGTCTTCAAGTCCAACTCCCTGCTTAGGCAGGAAACCCTACACCACTTCAGAGAAATGGTTATCCAATCTCTTCTTTAAAACTTCCACTGTTGGAGCATTTACAACTTCTGGAAGCAAATTGTTCCACTGATTAATTGTTCTAACTATCAGAAATTTTCCTTAGTTCTAGGTTGCTTCTCTCCTTCAGTAGTTTCCATCCATTACTTCTTGTCCTGCCCTGAGGTGCTTTGGAGAATTTGGGGGACACCAGTTTAGGGCTCTACCAGAAGTAGCTGAAAGGGACAGGATACATACATAGAGAAAATCTACTGCAATGGCCTATCACTCATCCGCTGAATCTTTTATCCCAGGAATCTGTCCGAGCCTGCTGATCACATGTTAAGGATGTGGTGGCTGATCTTCCTGCTGGCTAAGGACACTCCATGGGAGGAGAAATCAAACCAGGACAATTCACCAATCACTTCCCCTTAAATTGTCCCACATGAAAACTCTTTAAGGGCAACAACAGCCACCAACCACATTACTGAGATGGATTGCGGGAGGGATCAGGATAGATTTCTGCTGGTCAAGGACCACAGAAGTGCTGATGACCATGCCTGTAAAGAAAAGCCCTTGCATAGGTCAATGTCTAATGCAGAAGCCAAACACTTTCAAAGGCAAAGCATCTGCCCCAAAATAAGCAAGGCCACCTTTGAGGAAAATGTGCCTCTAGTTGTGAGTGTTGGAGCCACATACCTGCACAATGTGCTTCTGATATCCTAGAGAAAGAGAAGTGTGGGTGGGGAGAGAAAGACAGGAACTCTGCATGACAATGAATATAACAGTTCGGTTCTCATTAGAGTCACTATATCTGAAGAACAGAGAAAGTATATTTGAGAAACTGGTGCAACTGCTTTTAGGTTGCCCTCTATAATCATTATAAGGAAAAGGACCCCCATGGAAAAATGAATGAATCGGAATGAAAGCATACGACAATACACAGATCTAAGCTTTGTTATCATGGAGAGACTTGTAGAGCAAATTTTAGCAAAAAATATATCTAACAATATTGTTCGCTATTTCTATAGTATGTTTTCAGGTGGTATGAAATGTTAAATGCATACAATTTTGATCTCCCAACAACACATCAGTACAAAATATTGTATTGCTTTGCTGGTCAGGAAAGAAGGATGAGGGGAAACATCAAAAGTTAATCTCAATAATAGTCATGTCCTAACTTTTTTCATTCAGCATTATTGATTGTAAACATTTAAATATCCAAGCAGCATGCATGCTAGCCACGTTTCGCCAGAGAGTATCTCCAGTGGATTAACGCTGATTGTCAATAGAGATGGGAAAAATTTTGAAATCAAAACAATCTCCAGTTCCATCTGTAACACTTGCAATGAATTATACAATAGGGTTTCTGTAATTTATTCTCTCCAAGAAGATTTATAAAGAAACACAGAGAATTAAAAGCTTTTGCTTTTGGATTATTAGCAGATTTTTTTGTGTAAAATTTGCTGTATGAGGATTTGGGATAAAAATATACCAAATGGCAATCAAGACAGAAAGAGATTCAATTTCTGTTGCTTAGGGATCTGAGTGGTTAGGTAGGAGATGGGATAGTCACGCAAATGCCTATTTCTGTCTATATTTTTAGAATATAGATTTTTTTAATTTCCAAAAGTATTTCCCTTTGTGGACTTTTCTGTAGAGAAATAACCTCTTCAAACAGAATCATAACTTGTATCAACACCATTCCTTCAAATGGAATTCTCTTATTTACTTCTTTATATAATAGAATCATGGAATATATACATTGAAAGGAGGTTTGAGATCATCTAGTCAAATACCAATCTCATTGTAGGCATCTGCAATTACAGCCACCCTGCCTGTTTAAACACCTCCAGTGAAGAGGGTCCCACCCACATCACCCAGGGCAGCTATGAAAGGCTTCATCACAATGTATTTGGCACACCTTATTTTCAAGGTTCCCCTCTGAAGCCACCCCTCTCACCTGAAGGAATTCACTGTCTGGCTGCTCGAGCTTCTCTTCTACCTCATCAATCAGGATAGTAAGAGCAACAATTTCATCAGAAACCTTTGTGTCATATATTTTCTGATGCTTGACAATCTCCCTTTCCATCTCCTTCAGCTGAGCCAGCAGAAGCTTCTCTTGTTCATCCAAAAAGTGATGCATTTGCTCAAATTCCATCACCACTTTTTGTCTTTCAGTGTCTGTTTGATTCTGTAATATAATAGGGAGATGAACTTGAAAAAAAGGGCCAGGAAAGGCTTTTGGAAGATAAGCAGTCACTGAATGTCTGGATGCAATTTCCTTAAATAAGAGTCAAGGATCTGAATTATTGGGTCTTAAAACCAGCTTTCCATGATGTGCAAAGCAGCTGGTCAGGCCAGGTCACAGTCAGGATGGAAGAAAGCCCAAAACTCCCACTACCTGCACTGTTTCCTTTTTAAATGTTTTGTTAAATTTCATTGTAATATAGAAGAAGCAAAAGGTAGAAAAACAAGAAAGAGAAAAGTGCAAAAAGAGAAGCAAAAAATAACGATTTCCAACTTTCCTTTGTGCAGGAGACTACAAAAATATTCAACTTCAACCTTTCCTTTATATTTCCTTTATATTTTATATTTTAAAATCTAAAATCAAAGTTTCATGTTTTTTACAGTTTCAAGCAAAAAGTCCAAAAGTGGTTACCAAATAGAAATAAAACTAGGTACGCTGTTTTCTTTAATTAGTCAATTTCTCCATCTCTGCTAACTCCACCAACTTTACCATCTACTCTTCCATTGTGGGAATTAGAGTCTTTCCATCAAAACTTTTTAAAAATGTAAAGAATTCAAGGCAAAAGAAATGTCATGTTATAAGAACACAACAACAAGCTTCTGGGATGGGAGAGAGAGAAGCAGAATAGAGAAAGAACATTTGCTGAGGGGGAATGGGAGAATTTAAGCACCCAGGAAGCCACTGAAATCTGACAACAGAGTCTATACTAACCAGAGATTCCTGATGTCTAACCTCTCCAGCCAGCTTTAGTCGTAGAAGTTTCTCTAGTTCTTCCTTCAGTTTTTGCAGACGGCATTCGATTTCTTTCTAAAGAAAGAGAATTTGAAATATTTAGTTATAATTAATTATAATGTTGTGTCCCTGACACCTGCAGTTCCCAGTCAGGTATAAGGTTTAATTATATAGGATTATAATTAATTCTAGGGTGTAAGGTTTCCTGCCTAGGCAGGGGGTTGGACTAGAAGACCTCCAAGGTCCCTTCCAACTCTGTTATTCTATTCTATTCTAATTGTCCCCATCCCTAGATTTCTCCCTAGCAGTACCTGGCTGAAAATGTTATGCAAGGTAAATTTGGTTAATAGATGGCTCAGAGACCACTAGATAATCACTCCTGACAGGGTTGAGATTATGCATCACATCAGGAATTAGGTAGTAGAGTGTAGGAAGTATTTCTACAACTTTGAGAGGCTGCTTGAAAGAAATGGCAAGGGCAAAAAGGTGGGGTTATCTGAAAAAACAACTGAAACAATAGCTGACTATTGCAGTGAATCAAGTGAGGTTACTAACTAAATCTAAATGCCAGCCTGCTACTGGATGTAAACAAATGGTTATAAGTAGGGGTCTACCTGTAATTTTTCATCTATAATTATCAAATGCATCAGTATTTTTCGCTGAAAGCAGCAAACCTATCTGTGAAAATATCACAAGAGTTGTAATATTACAAGAGTTGTTCTACACATGCTTCAGATTGAGTCAGGATGCAGACAGGAGAAAGAGGGGCAGCGTTCCTCCCTCTGTCCGGGGATTTTAAACCTGACTTGTAGATGGCCGGAAGGAGAGCAGGCGCGCGTAAACCTGTGCGGGGCAGAGGGCGTGCGCGCCTCCCGATACCTTATAATCCTGGGCGGCCTCTTCGATGGGGAAGACCGTGTGGCTCCGGTGAGCCCGCGCCTCTCTGCAGATACAACAGATGAGGCTTTCTTCTTCGCTGCAAAAGAGCTTCAGCGCCTCCTGATGCTTTTCGCACAGCGGCCTCTCCTCTCCTTCTTCTTGCCCGGCGGCCCCTTGCAAGCCGTGCAAGCTCAGCCGCCTGGTGATTTCCACCACGTTTCCCAGCTCCCGGTTGGGTCTGAAATTCCTCTGCAGGGCAATTTCCCGGCATTGCGGACAGGAGAAATTAGTGCTCTGGTCCTTCCAGCACTGGGTGATGCAGGCGCGGCAAAAGCTGTGGCCGCAAGCAATGGAAACCGGGTCTCGGAAATACTCCAAGCACACGGAGCAAGTGGCTTCCTTGTGCAGGCTTTCCACCGGGTTCTCCATGGTGACCGAGGGCTCCCCTCTCCTTGTCCCGGATCGCCTGGACCGATAGCGCTGGCGGATGAACAGAGCTACGGAAAGAATGGCTCTGATCGGCGCGCTCCGCCCGCCGGAGAAACGTCACCTTCTCCGCGCTGCCGCCGAAGGGGGCTCGGTCAGTCAGTCTATTTACCCTGATTTCCAAATTCGGGGTGATTTGGGGCGGGAGGGACACCAGGTGGCAGAAGGCGCAAGCCGCTGCAATCGCCCCCCTTGAGTCCAATCAGGCACGTCTGGAACAAGGCCCGAAGCCTGCAAAGCATCTCTTTGCGGAAACTCTCGCAGCGGCCGCCTCGGTTCTGCGCGGCCGGTGCGAGGGGGTCGCAGCGGCTATGAAGCAGCCGCGCTGCGGAGGTCTGGGGTGAAGCGAGCCCCCGGAGGAAGAGCTTGGTCGACGTCAAGCCGCTACCCAGTTCGGCGGCTGCGCGTTCCCGTCCTCCAGCCCGTCTGCCTGCTAGAAAATGGGGATGGAGTGGTGGTGGTGAAGAGACTCTTGGCAAATTGCATTCAGAACAGAGTAATAGAGTTGGAAGGGACCTTGGAGGTCTTCTAGTCCAGCCGCCTGCACAAGCAGGAAACCCTATACTATTTCAGACTATTGGCAGTCCAATTTGTTCCTAAAAGCCTCCAGTGATGGAGCACCCACAACTTCTGAAGACAAGCCCTTCCGTTGGTTAATTGTTGTCACTATTAGGAAATTTCTCCTTAATTCTAGGATCCTTCATTCCTTCCTTAAATGTGGGAGGGGAGACTGGGGAAAACCTCCTTCAGCAGTGCTAATAGGGAGGCAAGAAGAGGCCTGTATTCTTCAAGGGCTATTCTATCTTTTGGTTCACTTGCTGAAGCACAGGGGCCATTTGCAATTTACAGGTTTTCTCTCCCTTCTCCCATTGGGTTTCATTTTGGCTACTGAAGCAGGATGCTATTGTTCTTTAGTCTCCCAATATTTTAAGATTTGGTCTATCAGTTTAGTGTAGTGGTTAACATGCTGGTTTAGAACAAGGAGACTGTGAGTTCTAGTCCTGCCATCAAAACAAATTGGATGATTTCAAGTGGTTGGAGGAAATGTTGAGTTTTAAATTAGATCATGTACCAGAATTATTTCTATTAGGAATCATGTCAAAAAGGTACAATAAGGATGAGCTATATTTGATTATACATATTATTACTGAGGCAAGGATAGCATTTGCCCAGAACTGGAAAGAGACAGACATACTGAGTAAAGGTGAAGTAATAAACAAAATCTTGATATGCACCGAAATGGACAAGCTAACTTTAGAGATGAAAAAGATGAGTCGGCATATTACACAATTTGGGATAGATTCTATCACTGCTGGGAGAAGAAAGGAAGGTCTTAAGTTGGGAAAGGAGTTGCTGTAAGGGTAAATGAATGTATGAGATGAAAAGAGGATGTTGGAAAATGTAATATATGAGCGAATAAATGTATAAAGGTATAAATTTAAATAATTGTACATAGGAAAATATATATCTATGCAATACTGACCAAAAGTTATGTCAAAGCGACTTCCCTATATTCAATGTTTTTAATTGTTTTGTTCAACTAAAAAAAAAATCGGTGATTTTGAGCCAGTAAGTTACTCTTTTCTCTCAGCCCAATCTACTTCACAGGGTTATGGGGAAAATAGGGGCGGAAAGAGCGTTAAGTATTTTTGCTGCCTTGAGTTATTTATAAATAAATAAAGGCTTTGCAAAGACAGATCAAGCAGATTGATACGTTCAAGCAATTACTCCATGGGTAAGATACACAGGAAGCAGTGTCTTTATAGCCAAGCCTCAAGAATATACAAAATTATTAATGTGATTGGTTATAGATTAATTATAAAAAGACTATGTTTTAAAATAAACTTAAGTTGCTGTGTTGTACCCACTAAATGTTGAACCGCAGCTTTAGCAAGCTCTGACCAACTTTATCTCAAAGTGTGAACAGAATATTGAAAGTTTTCTGATGTGTTTTATTTGCTTCTAGTCTTGCTAAATATTTATTTAAAACCCTTATTACTGGAGGAGTGGCTTAAATCCTTTCTTATTTCCTCTTTAGCCAGGAATCTGGAGTTCTGCCAATTAGCCTCAACAAAACCTCTTATAGAATAAGGCTGGGCCCATCCTGACTTCTGATAGATGAATCATCATTTCCAGCACTTCCTGCTAGTTCTGCCCAATTATTTCTTTTGGGGTTCTTGTTTGAGCCCAAAACAAATGGCTCTGTACTTTCCATGGCAGATTTTAATTATTTAACTACATTTCTCTCTCTTCAGAAGTTTTGTTAATCTTGTTTTCAGTCTTCAGAAGTTTTGTTAATCTTGTTATTGTTTGTGTAAATCTTGAGGACAATTTTTTTTAGAGAAAGCAGTGAGAACATAGCACTGTTTCCCCAGGGGGATATCTAGCAACAGCAGAAGAAAGAAACTATTTGCACATACAGCCATCATGTCCACAGAGGAATTGACAAGAAGACTTAAAGAAGAACTGATCTGCTCCATTTGCTTGGATCGTTTCCATGATCCAGTCTCCATACACTGTGGGCACACCTTCTGCCAAGCTTGCATTATCAAACACTGGGATTTAATGAACAAAAAACATTTCCACTGTCCTAAATGTAGAGCAACCAGCCGGAAAAGAATCCTAAAGCCCAACCGAGAACTGGGAAACATTGCCAGAATTGTCCCAAAGCTGGACAAAAAAACCGAAGAAAAAGAAAAGAAAAAAGAGAAGGTATGCCAGAGGCACCAGGAACCACTAAAATTCTTTTGCAAAAATGATCAGATGGTGATCTGTGTGGTGTGTGACAAATCAGAAAAGCACAAGGACCATACGGTGTTTCCTGTGGAGGTAAGATCAAACAATGTTAGGCGGCATATTTCTTGCTGTGAGGGCTAAAATGTAGGCCACTTTTTCATGTATTCTTCATTTGTTTGACATGTTTGGTATACCAGCTTTGTGGCTCTCTACAGATTGGGAAAAAAATAGAGGTTGGTTGGTTGGTTGATAGTAAATGGGGAATCAGTATATTTATTATTTATCACCTTTCTACACTGATAATCTCACCTGTGACTGGGCAGTTTATTTATTTTGTCAAGCGATTATTAGATAACAGGTATAAGTATAAACATGCTTATGAATACATGAAACGGATACAAATAAGAAAAAAACAATAGGACAGGGACGGTAGGCACGTTTGTGCGCTTATGCACGCCTCCTACAGACGTCTTAGGAAAGGGGTGAGGTCAATAGTAAACAGTCTAAGGTTAAAGTTTTTGGGGTTTGGGGAAGAAACCACAGAGTCAGGTAGAGTATTCCAGACATTGACCATTCTGTTGCTGAAGTCGTATTTCCTGCAATCAAGTTTGGTGCGGTTAACCTTGAGTTTGTATCTATTGTGTGCTCTTGTATTGTTGTGGTTGAAGCTGAAGTATTCATTGACAGGTAGGACATTGCAATATATAATTTTATGTACTATACTGAGATTGGACCGAAGGCGGCGTAGTTCTAGGTTTTCTAGGTCTAGAATTTCAAGTCTGGTGGCATAAGGTATTCTGCAACGAGTAGAGGAGTGAAGACTCTTCTTGTGAAATATTTCTGGACTTTCTCAACTGTATTAATATCAGATACGTAATGCGGGTTCCAGACTGATGAGCTGTATTAAAGTATTGGTCTAGCAAATGTTTTGTATGCTCTCATTAGTAATGTGATATTACTGGAGAAAAAACTATGCAGGATTAGGTTAACAACTCTTCGTGCCTTTTTGGCTGTATAGTAACAGTGGGCTCTAGCACTTAGATCATTTGAGATGAGTACTCCAAGGTCCTTGACAAAGTTTGGGTCATCAACAAGGTCTTGACTATTTAGCTTGTATTTTATTTTCTGATTTTTTTTGCCAATATGTAAGACAGAACATTTATTTGTTGAGATTTGAAGTTGCCATTTGTTTGACCATTCTGATACATAGTCAGTTTATAAATTAGTACAAATTAATATGCCGCTCAAGGGGATAATTTGGTGAGGGAAGGACTCAAAACAGCCCTTTTTGTGATGAAGTTAATAGGCAGGAACTGTCTTGCCATGTTATATAATTGCCAGAGGTCGGACTGCTAAACAGTCATGTGATCATTGTTCACTTTGGGTGCTTGGCAGTCCATCTCTAGTTATGACTAACGTTCTCCACCCACTTATCTCTCATGCATCTCTCTAATTTTGGCCATCCTGCACAGTGATACTCCTTGGAGGGGTGGCAACACTGGCACTAAAGGTCCAGGCTCTTCAGCAATCTCAGCCAGCTGCCACACCTGTTCCTCAGGGCCTCTACCTTACCTCAAGTACTGCCAGAGCCAACCCCTGCTACTCTGCTCTCTGCCAGCCCCGTCATGCCCAGCTGACTTTCACCATCCTCTTCCTCTGCTGACAGAATTTGTTGCTTGGAAAAGAAGCTGTGATCAATGATGAAGACATTATCCATGGCAAAAGTTGTGTTGGCAGGAGAGGGAGAATATTACTTTCAAATTGAAAGAGCTGAGGAGGATGTTAAGGTTGCCTTAACTCTGTATTGGAGACCAGACAAATGCCACAACATATGAACGTGGCAGAAAAAGCAAGAATCAAGGCCTGTTTTTGCAGGGACATATAGCACCCTAAGAAAGGGGCACATGACTGTTAAATAGAGCACAGTGAATTCTCTGTTTTCCTTTTTTACATATTCTTTGTATCTAACTAGAGATCTCAGTGTTGTGGTTCTTTTCACACATGAGAGACCTAAAAAATTAGCCAAGTGCCTGTTTAATGCTGTATGAAAACACCCTTTCAAAGGCCAAAGCAAGCAACTACAGCCTGTGCTTGTAATCTGCAGCAAAACAGGGCAGGGCCTTTTTTGTTTTATTATCATTTTTGCTGCAGTTTCTTCAAATGATCCCTGGGGTTCTAGTTTGGGGATAGTGTAGACTGGGCTTGACCAACCCGCGGCCCACGGGCCGCATGCGGCCCAGGTCACCTCGTAATGCGGCCCAGTGCCCACCCCAACCTTCGTGCCAGAGCCAGCGAGGAGGAGGAGGAGAGGCAGGCGCGAGGCGGGGCGAGGCGAGTGCCAGGCCAAGCAACAAGAGAAAAGGCGGGCGCCGTCAGAGCGCCACCTCCTGCTGTTGCCGCCGGCGGCACCACCGCCGCTTCTGCCGCTGCCGCTTCTGCCCCCGCCGCTGCTGCTGCTGCTTCTGCCTTCCAGTCCTGCCTCATCCAGCCGGGCCATTTGCAGGAGGAGAGGTAGGCGTGAGGCGGGCGGGCTTTCTCCCTCCCACTCCCCCCCCCGCAAAATTTGGCCGGAAAATAAACTGTGATAAAAAAACTGTGATAAAAAAAACGTGATAAAAAATAATTTTTAATAAATAATTAATAATTAATAATAAAAACATCTCACTAATTTCATTTCCAAATAAATTTAATATGTTAACTATGTTTTCTATGGTTTTTTGGGATGATCTAGTATGTTACTGTTATTTTATTTTATGTGCGGCCCAAACCAAATTTTCATCTTCTAATGTGGCCCAGGGAAGGTGAAAGGTTGGACACCCCTGTAGACCAAATTTTTCCACAGTTGCTCTTGGTCTTCAATAATCTCCCAAGTGTTGGCAATTCTGGCTGGTGGAGTTCAAGAACTCAACTTCAGAACAGGCTTGACTATTCATAAGTTCATGATTTATGCCTTAATAAGTTTATAATTTCCTATTATTCTTGAAAGTTGAACATTGAGAGTGATTAAGTCTGGAGTGCAGATACATTGCGTTAGTGATTGGTTTAATCTTAAATGCACTAGACGGAAGACTCATCTCAAGAATAATTAGCTGGATTAAGATGCTCCACATAGGAAGGGTAAGAGCTTGTTAAAGGTTCGTTTTGTAGGTATCTAAGACCACAAAATGTAATAAATCAGAATACTGTTTTTCTTTATTTAGCAAGAATTCCAGGACCAACTGATATTTTTGAAGAAAAAAAGAGAAAAACTTCTTAAATTTCAGGCAATGAATGCAGCGAGGAATACAGAAGCCCTGGTAGGTTCTTCAATTTATCTACTGGCAAACTGGAATTTGTCCTCAATCTGTCTTTTAGAGCAGTAAACATGTTTCCCTGCTGGAATTTATTGCAGAATACAATCGGTGCTGGGATTCAGAAAATATCCTTGGCTTTTAAGCAGATTTTTAAATCCCTTGAGGAACAGAAGCAACTGCTGCTGGCCCAATGGCACTCACTCCAGACAGCAGTCAAGGAACAGGAAGTTCGTAATGCCACAATTTCAGAGGAAATTTCTTACCTGGATAGCCTTATCACTATGGCAGAAGAAAGATGGCCAACACTAGAGCTTGAGTTTTTACAGGTTAGAAAATGGACATTTTCTTCTGCGGTAAATAAGGGTTATCTTAGTGAAGAAGCGGTAAGAGAATAGTTTGAAACCTAGAGAACAAGAAACAGACAATCCTTGTTTTATAGTAGATCTCTCTTTCCCCAAATAGTCCCACTAGATCAGGGCTGTCAAACTCCCGGCCTAGGGGCCGGATGCATCACACACTGGCCACTCCCACACCTGGTTTAGTGACGACGTGAGTTTGACACTCCTGCACTAGATGTATTGGTTTTGCATATTCCTAGCAGCATGACCAGAAAGGTGGCTTGGGGGTGTGTGGGGGAGGCAAAATTAGATAAAAGTAGCTTAACAAAGTCATTGCTTCTCATGTGGGATACCTGTGAGAGAGGCTCATAAAGTGATATATGTCAGGAACAACTCAAAGAAGTAGTGCAAGATCAGAAGATGTGGAAAGACCAGGCCCATAGAATCGTCAAAAGTCAGATGTGATTAAATAGATAAAATCATCATCATATGGAAGAAAAAAATTGGCTTCCTCTCCCATATTTCTGATGCAAGACTGGCTTCACACATTGTTTTGACTTATGATTGTGGTTTTTAAATCATGGTTGACTCTGTTGTGGCTTGTTCTATAAACCATGGTTAAAATCAGACAGTTAATGTGCTATGTGCTAATGTAAATAGGCGCTGGTCTTTGAAATGGCATCATCCACATAAAAGAAAGGGCACAAGAAAGGCCGTGTTTTTCAGCCTTGGCAATTTTAAGAAGGGTGAGCTTCTAATCTTAGAATTCCTGAGCAAGCATTGACGAGTTGAGGTCCATCCATCTTAAAGCTGCCAAATTTGAAGGCACTGGCTTCGGGGAAAGTGAGAACAAAATCAAAGGACGCTTTGAAGGCTCAATAGCTACCACATGCTGAAGGTCTGTTAAAAGAGAAATGAGAAGCCACATCCTGGGGGGAAATGGAGTATCTTGGAAAAGAGCTAGAGGCTCCAAATCATGTGGCAATATTTTGTTGTAGACTCTGTATTACGTAATGCTAAAATACTTCTTATCTTTCCTTTCCAGGAGATGCAGACTGCATCAGTGAGGTACTTGTCATCTGATTTATGCTGAATTATCTAAGAAACGCATAAAATAGAAACTAAAATGAAAGCTGAGGAGCAAAACAATGGGGCCATCAGCTCATTATAAGCTCTGTTCCTTAAGTATAATAAGATGGAGCTGCTCCCCTATTGCTGAAGCTGATCAAGGAGAAAGAACCAACCCAGAATTAGGGAGAAATTTCCTCTCAGTTAGAACAATTAACTAGTGGAATGGCTTGCCTCCAGAGGTGTTCCAACACGGGAGGTTTTTAAGAAGAGATTGGACAATCATTTGTCTGAAATGGAATAGGGTTGCCTGTTTGAGCAAGGATTAGAAGACCTTAATGATCCCTTCCAACTCTGTTACATTCTGTTGTGAGATGGTTAATGCAAGCAGCTGAACCACTGCAGTCTACAACTCTCCTTTCCACAGTTCACAAAGGCCTCTGTGATCAGGAGTGTATGACATTAATGGCTACCATTTTGAGATGAGAAAATCAAATGAAAACTAGAGTGTAAATCCAAGGGCAAAAACCGTCTATCCCGACTAACTTTTCTTAAAAACCAGCTCCTCATCTGTATTTGGCCTGACCTAATATTCAGCCCTCTCCAAATACTCTATAATATTTTTGACCAAGCAGCAAGTTTACCCCTTGATGCTTTATGACTTCCTGATATATTTCAGGGCAAAAATGATACAAACGGTTTGTATAGGCCTCTTTCACCTTAAAATAATCCATCAGATCTGCATATACAAATGTTTCCTTCCTATTTTAGGTTAAAGCAAAAGAAGTTTCAAGAGTTAGATGAACTTCCTGAAATGGAAAAACAGCTTGCTTATCAAACAAGACAAAATGAGGCTGTCACAAGTACTTTGTGGAAATTCGAAGGTATGAGCTTAGCTGACAATATTTAAATTTACATTTAGGACCAAGTTTTTAAACTGAGAGATACATTCCATGCAGTTGGAACAGAAAGGAACCTTACATGCATGCTCCTAAAAGTATTGATTTGTTTTGCTATTCTCTAGTTCCTTCTTTCTGAAGATAGCATATATGTTTGAAAGATGCGAGTTCTGTCTTCCTATCAAGAGAACTTTCAAAGCAGCCTAAAACACTGTATTAAAACAGCAGCTAGGGCAAGAGAGAGAATGGGAAACAGAGAAGGTGAATAACAGTAGTCCAAGCAATACAAGAAGTTTCTGTTGAGGCTGTTCTCAATCAGAGCAGAAAATATTGACAAATGTTGGCAAAGCCACACGCTTACTTAACCGGTTGTTAGGCCGGTAGGTTCCCACCCCTGGCTTGGTGTATTATGCTGTATATATTATATAGGTATATTAACCCCCTACCCCTGTTTACTCTTGGATTTTTTTTTCTGTTTCCACCAGATGTTCTAACGTCTGTTAGGAAGAAGGAAGATTCAAGCTCTCCTATTGCAAAAAAGAGGAAATCGGAAGACCAAGCAGCCGATGATGCTGTTGATTATAGCCCAGAAAGAGGAATGCATTCCTCACCATCTCAGCAGCCTGATCAAAAGGCACCAGTAGGAGATAGTAAGTGCATGACAATGGTTTCTGTCTGTATTTTGTCAGATTTTCTCAGCTTTCATTAAAAAAAACCAGAAAATCAGAAACCTTTGATATAAACAATGGGTACAAAGGCTAAGTTCTCCATTTTTGTTATGCCCCCTTCCCTATTCAACTTAGTGTGATTGTGTATGGTAACTACATCTCCAGATATTATCAACTGATACTATTATTGAAAGCTAGTATAAAGGAAAAAAATTTATTTCCTTAAATATTGGGACCTACAAGAAAAAAGTCATAATAATCAGCTTTTAGCAAAGACTCAGGTGTTACAAAATAAATCCATATGTTTCTACCTACTTTCTAATGCTCCTTTTTTTTCTCTCTTTTGGACTAGTTAACATGAAGAAACGTCAAAAACCATCTCAGTGTCCACTATCCTAGGTGAAATTACGTACAAATTATTGTAGCGATACTTCAGCAGAAGCAACACATCCATTGTACTAGCTTCTATAATATATAAAAAATGCTTCCCATGATTGCCTGATTTCTCCTTCCAAACAACTCTGAGATATTGGAACACTTAACATCTGCCTTACTTAGTGATGAAAGTCCTAATTAAGGTTGTAAGTCAAGGACTACTTATATTAGCCACATTAGGCTGATGCAGGCATATCCCTTCCCCTCCACTCCTGATGTGTCTTCCAGGTCATTCTCCTCTGGGCAGTGGGAGAGTCCCATTCTGTCCTCCCCTGTTAGATCTCTCAGCCAATCCTCAGTTCAGAAACAAGGATCAATCTAAACAGCATCAAGCAACACCGGGATGAACATTGCACATTGCAGCTCTGTCTCTCTGATGCATTACAGGTAGTCCTCGACTTACGACCACAATTGATCCCAACATTTCTGCTGCTAAGTGAGATATTAAGTGAATTTTGACCCCTCTTACAACCTTTCTTGCCACAGTTGTTAAGTGAATCGCTGCGGTTGTTAAGTTAGTAACATGGTTGTTAACAGAATCTGGCCTCTCCATTGACTTTGCATGTCAGAAGGTTGCAAAAGGGGATCACATGACCCCGGGACACTGCAACCCTCATGAATATGAGTCAGTTGCCAAACATCTGGATTTTGGTCATGTGACCATGGGGAGGCTGCAAGGTTCATAAGTATGAAAAATGATCGTTAAGTCACTTTTTTCAGTGTTGTTGTAACTTTGAAGAGTCGCTAAATGAACTGTTGTAAGTGGGGGACCACCTGTATTATGCAATTCTCCCCAAACCTGTCAACTCTTATCTTAGCTGCTTTTGAGCATAGGTTTAGCACTACTTTGAAATAGCACCAAAATTGCATATAAAAATGCCTTTAATTTGGTGCATGTATTTTTTTTAAACAAGTTTTATTGATTTTACCGACAAACAAACAAAACAAAACATCATTAAACATTAAAAACATAAAACCTCTTTCCATTGTAGATCCTTACAAGGCAGGTAACATATTGCTTTATATCACGTACTTATAGTTTATCCCATTTCCATATAAACACGTAAATTCCCTTTACCAAATTCCACATTGTTTCTCTTTAATCATTATTCAATCATATTTCCTTTCTGATTTATCTGCTATCCAGTCATCAACTTTATATTTTCCTCTGGCTTGTTTATAATTATTCTCATCTAGTCTTCTTCCGAGATTTTATTATTTAATTCTTAATTAAACACACACACATAAAACATAGACATAAAAACATAAAACTTTCTTCTAGAAAGTAACTTGGCCCCAGATTACCTCTTTTTGTATGGACTCAATTGTATTCACGCTCTTCTTATATACCATTACCCATCTTATTTACCATTCTATATCTATTATATAACTCCTCTCCACTTTTGCCTCATCTTAATTCTGTTTTATATATTTAATCTTGCTTTTTTAAAAAAAATATTTTTATATCTTTTGTCCATTTCTCCATTTACATCTGTCTCATTTCCAATTTAAGAAAGAATAGTTTCCCCTGGAATCACTAATCGGAGTATGATGCCTTTCTATCATTCCCCTAAGTTAAAATTTAAAATAACACCTAAATAATTTGGTGCATGTATTTTGTGCAGTCACTTGGACTGAGTTTAGTGGTGTTTCAGGATACTACTAATCCAGTAGTCCTCAACCAGTATACCAATGAAAGTTTGTTTTTATATTGTCAGTGAAAAATCATAACAGATTTGACCATTGCAGAAACAAAGGACTGATAGAAACCAGGGCCCCTGTTCAAAATGAGAGTCTTGTTACATAGAGCAGAATAAGAAAGAAGCATAAAAACATATTTTTTATATTGTTTCTTTATAGATTTCTTTTAAAAGCACTTCAGTCAATACAATTCTTTAATTATGGCTTACCATCTTTTCTTCAATAAAGATTACTTATTGATTTGGGGGGATTTGTCTTATTTGTTGATGTCCTAATTATGGAATGATCTCAAAAAAGCCCAAGCTGATATTCCTGAGAGTTCTCTTTGATGTATCCATGCAAAAACAAACAAAGTGGACTGAATTCAGTAATCGTTAAAACTCACATATGTTAAAACTGGCCGATGTCAGTTTATCTTAAGAAGAGCGATTGATGGGTGTTTTCCTGTTAGTTGGGTCGGTGAAGGTGAGAGAGGTCATGGGTGTCTACCTGCCTTTGATATGCAATGTTATCTAGAATGGAGGTCCTCCAAGCTGTGGAACTATGCAGGTCTGCATCCTGTTAGGAACTAGGCTGCGCATGTGAACAAGGTTTCATCTGTGCCTGTGTGTGTAAAGGTTCCCCTCGCACATTCATGCTAGTCATTTTCGGCTCTAGGGGGCGGTGCTCATCTCCATTACAGAGCTGAAGAGCCAGCGCTGTCCAAAGACATCTCCGTGGTCATGTGGCCAGCATGACTAAATGCCGAAGGTGCACAGAATACTATTACCAAAGTGGTCCCTATTTTTCTTCTTGCATTTTTACATGCTTTTGAACTGCTAGGTTGGCAGAAGCTGGGACAAGTAACGGGAGCTCACTCTGTTACACGGCGCTAGGGATTCGAACCGCCAAACTGCCGACCTTTCTGATCGACAAGCTCAGTGTTTTAGCCACTGAGCCATTGCGTCCCTGTGTGAGATCTAGATAAAGCACAAAACAACTACCACCACCACCCCAGTCCATGGAAAAATTGTCTTCCATGAAGCCAGCCCTTGGTTTCAAAACAGGTTGGGGACGGCTGCTCTAGAAGGAAGGACAGCACCATTCCCAACTTCAAGTCTTGGTAAGATAGGGATCTAGAGACCACCAGTGAGGGCAGCAGCAATATATTGGGTGTGTGTGTGAGAGAGAGAAAAGTAAGTTGTGCTATCAGGATGGTCCTCTTGATTTTTTGACAGCCGCCTCTTCCCAAGAAGGCTGATGGAGAACAGCGTATTTTATGCCTGGTGAAGATTTTTAAGTCGGCAGTGAGGAACAGTTGTCAGTCTAATTCAGCCTTAATCCAATACACAGGTAATTCTCTACTTAGCAGTTACAAATGGGACCAGAGTTTCAGTTGCTAAGCAGGTGGTGATGCCCAATTTTATGCCTCCCCCCCTCTGTGGTTATTAAACAAATCACTGTAGTTGTTAGGTGAATCATGAAGTCATTTAAGCAAATCCAGTTTCTTCCATCGACTTTGCTTGTCGGAAGCTAGCTGGGAAGGTTGCAAATGGTGACCACACGACCCTGTGACCCTCCAACCATTGTAAATACACTGGCCAACCCCAGAATTTTAATTACATGATTATGGGGATGCTGTGACAGTTGTAAATGGGAGGACCAGTGGTAAGTCACTTGCCTCAGTGCAGCTGTAATTTTGAACGGTCACAAAGGAAATGGTTGTAAATTGAGGACTACCTGTACTTAAACAATTCTATTTTATTTTGTGTGTGTGTGTGCATACACACACACACACACACACATACATAAATTCATACACATTTACCACGCCAGATGGTGTATCAATAAAGCAGGAAGATTCTGGGTGTACCAAATCAGTCCATCTTACAGATTGCGTCAAGAATTTTTGTTAGGAAAGAAAGCAAGAAATTCCTAGACTGGAAAATTCAGAAATTGGGTTAAAAGCCATTGCAAATATTTTTGTGGACAAAACCAGAAATCAAACCCAGTGTTACCTTGTTGCACAACTGATAAAAATATGCAAGTCACATCAGCTTTTGCATTTGATTACAAAGGATTGGTCATTAAAGAAGAACTTCATCACAAATGTGAGTTATGAAGATACCTGATGTACTAATAAATGTACTTTGTTATGGATGTTTTGTGGAGTTTTATCTATCTGCATTTGCACAGCTACAAATCCACCTCTGTGCAAGATATAAGAAATAGGTACTGTTCTTTTAGTTTGTGTGCATGTGTGTCTATATATAGACAAAATTAAGTGGAATTAGAAATGCAGTTTCTTGTCTCCTACATTGTAATGGCAATCAATGTCTAAGAATGATTTTATATATGTGTGTGTGTGTGTATGTGTGTATGTATATATATGCACACACACACATACACACACACACTTAGACAATGTCTAAGAATATATATATTCTTAGACATTTATTGCCATTACATTAATTTTTCTTAGAGAAGCTCTTAAGCAGGAATCTGATTACTGTTCCTGAAGATTAATGCCCTTGACATAAATTTATATCTCGGTTTTAACTATATTAAGCTATCTTGAATTGCAAAAGGTTAGCTAAGCTGGGGTT